ATTAGCGTGCACACTCCCCGGCCTCGGGCCCCACGTAGGCCCAGATCGCCGCGGGCTCGCCGGGCGGACAAAGCCCCCGGCAGGGCTCGGAGGCCAGAGACGCGCGCGGGGCGGGGCGTGGCGCGCGGACGGCGGGACCGGGCCGGGGGTGTCGGATGTCACCCCCGCGCACACCTCGGCCGGGGGGCGGGGGAACGAACCACTGAGATGCGAAGACCTCCCCGGTCCTAGAGCGGAGCAGGAAGTGTCCCAGGGGAGGGAGCCGGAGGGCTCTGGCCTTTCCTTTCCTCCGCGTCCTGTGGGCTCCGGCGACGGCCAGGCCTGCACGACTCTCGAGCCGGTGCGCGCCGCGGCGGTGAGTGTGGCCGCGCGGGCCCGGGCCAGTTCCCCAGTCCTCGCGCCGGCGCTGGGCCGGCGCGCCCCCTTTCTGCGAGCCCGGGCCTCCGCCAGCGCCGCCCCCACCCTGGAGCGCAGGGTGCGGGCGGGGACAGAAAGCAGTACAATTTTGTTTTTCAGGCGCTTCTACTTCCTCCCACTCCTTCCCTCCCAAACCGAGCCTTGGCTTTCTGGATGAGCAGGAGAAGAGGCTGTGGCTGGCCTGGGAAGAAGTCGGGCCCCTGCAGAGAATCCGCCTGAAGAAGGACACCTGGGAGATTGGGCTGGAAGGATGAGGAGCTGCCACCACGGACTTCCGCCGCAGCAGGAGGGATTTGAGTTAGACGCTGGGAAGGAGTTCCAGGCTGTGAGGTGAGAAACCTGGAGCCGTTTCCCCTGCGGCTTGTGGTTAGTGATTGTGTGTGTAGAACTGAGTGAAAGAGCGAGTGAGAGAATAGAATAAAAAGCTTATTCCTTTCCTTGGCCTAGAATGCCCTCCTCTTTCCTTTTTGCTAATGCCGATCTGTCCCTCCTCCAAGATCTGGTTTAAACACGCCCAGTCTCGGACCCCTCCCCCATGAACCTTAGTTCAATGAGTGGCCTACACTCCAGGTGCAGGGTGACAAAGAACAAGCTGTCTGCTTACAGGGAAGGTCCACAGAGCACCGAATGGGCGGCCACACAGCAGGGACTAGGGTGCTAAGGGGTCAGCATGGGTACCCCCAGGATGGAGACAGACCTGAGTAGCAAAGGGAAGTGTGGGGATAAGGAGCTGCTTTAGGATGAACCTGGTGGGAATCAAACTGGGCTGCTGACTCTGGAGGGAATCCAGTGGTGGGGGGAACTGATAATATGTTCAGCTTAAGGCCTTCTGCGTCCTCTTATGCCAATTTATCCTTGTTTTCAGGTTAGAAAGCAAGAGAGTCCAGAGGCTTGGTTTTTCTAACTGCCACTCAGTTACTTTGTCACTCTTCTGGCCTCACTTGTCTTGTGAAAGGTAGTGAGGTCCGTCCCACTCCCCACCATGATACTAGCTGACAAGGGAGGCTATGTAAGAGGCTGGATGATATATTTTCTGTGCACCAGGCACCTTACACAGGTGAAGACATGAAGGGTGAGTGATTGGCCTGGTAGAGGAGGGAGGACTGTGTAAGTCTTTATTTGTCCTTGAATTTCCTTGCATCTTTCCTTGTGCTGCCATCCTGGGGGACTCCAGTCTCTGGTTGTGGCTGCCTGCAAACCATTAACCAGATGGCTTGTTCCTCTGGCCCCTACCCCTGTAGTCTGAGTCAGTGACAGTGTGTTATAACTGACAGTCTCTTATACCACCTTGGTTGGGTTTACTGGGTCCATGTGCACACCAGCCTCCTATGTGTTGTAGGAAGTGTAGGGACTGTTGTCTTCCACTCTCTGTGTGGATGTGGAAGTAGGTGTGGTTCACGATCTGAGAGCTGGCATTTGAGCTGTGCCTAAAGAAGGGATATGAAGGTTGTGCAGTTTGCCCTGGTTTGAAAAGGACAAGGGTAGACAAGGAGGTGGAGATCAAAGTTGAAGGTCAGAGCACTTTTCAGTGAATGATAAAAGTTTGTCGTCAGACATTCAAATGAGTTAGGCTGCAGGCTGGTCCAAAAGCATTTCTCTCTGGTAAGCACAGTCTGTGGCTCTCTTATGACTCTTGTGATCTCTCGTCTGGTCATCTTGGCTGCCTGCTTCATCCCTTACATTCCAGTGTAGGCTCCACTGAGTGTGGCTGATTCTGGCTCTCAGATGTGCCCAGCACTGAGCATGGATGCCTGGCCCTTAGCTGTCAGCAGGGTGGGTTTTTTGAACCTCATTGTGTTTTAAAGGCTCCTCCCTTGCATGTCTGTCTGTATCTTTCCAGTTCAGTTTGTAAAGGTCTACAGACCAAGGACGGTGACTTCTGCCCTGCAGCCTCAAGATAGCAGCCTGCTCTGACACGTCCATCTCGGGTCCTCTCCAAGAGGACCTGGCCACTGAAGGTACCAGAGAGCCTTAATGTCTCTCTCTTGCATGCAGCCCCCTCGGTCCTCTGGGATGCTTGGAAGGCCAGGTCACATGGAAATGCCATTGCTTTTCTTGGGACACCCTGCCTCATTGCTCTGTTTATCTAGCTAGGGGAACACACACACAGTGATATTAAAATGGGTTTTGGCTGGTGGGGTGGAGGGGTTTTTTCCTGTTCTTCTGCATAAGGAACAGTCACACATCCCTCACTTAGAAATCCCAAGGCTTCTCCAAAGGGCTGGTCTCTGTGGGCTACTGTCAGTTTCCCCATCAGCACCCCCAACAACTAATGCAGGAGACCAGAACATTGAAGCCAGCAATTTCTGTTTGGAAATAGGGTCGTCTTCTGCCGCTGACCCCCATCAAATCCCATCATGCCCACAGCCCTGTGCCCCCGAGTCTTGGCTCCGAAGGAAAGTGAGGAGCCCAGGAAAATGAGGAGCCCACCTGGAGAGAAACCTAGCCCCCAAGGAGAGCTCCCCAGTCCAGAGTCCTCCCGCCGCCTCTTCCGCCGCTTCCGCTACCAGGAGGCGGCGGGTCCCCGGGAGGCCCTGCACCGCCTCTGGGACCTGTGCCGAGGCTGGCTGCGGCCTGAGAGGCACACCAAGGAGCAGATCTTGGAGCTGCTGGTGCTGGAACAGTTCTTGGCCATCCTGCCTCGGGAGATCCAGAGCTGGGTGCGGGCCCAAGAACCCGAGAATGGCGAGCAGGCTGTAGCTGCAGTGGAGACACTGGAGCGGGAGCCGGGGAGACCCTGGCAGTGGGTGAGCAGAGGGGGTGGTAGTTGGGGCAGAGAGTGGGGTTGGAAGTTGGTATGCTGATGGGGTTAACCAGTCCCTGACCAAGGCTGTGGAATTCTCTCTACCACTATGTACCTTGGTTAGGCCCAGACTAGACAGTGGTTTCCCAAGAAAGCAGATTTCTTTCCCCAAAGTTCCTAATGTGGTACTCATTTGTGTCTGCTTATGGGCTGAGCTGAGTTTCTCTGGTGGTCAGCTGTGGGGTTGATGGTCAGCATGCTTAGGGGAGGGAGGGAGCTTGCCCAGCCCCTTGCAGAGCAGAGCCAGCTCCACCCCTGGTAAGGGACCTCTCCAACTGAAAAGCTCTCTCTGAGATTGTAGCTTAAACACTGTGAAGACCCCGTGGTGATCGATGATGGGGATGGCCATCCAGACCAGGAGCAGGATCGACTGCCCACAGAGCCCCAGGGTGACCTTGCAAAGAGCCAGGATACCCAGCCCATACCCCTTGCGGAAGATACTGGACTCCCAAGCCGATCACCAGGGCAGCTCAGCGGAGACCCAGGTATAGAGCCTGTGGGAGTGAGGTGAGGAGTGGGTTGGGGCATCCTGTGCTTTCAGCAGAGTCCTGCAAGGAGTGGTGGTGTTCTGAATGATGTCATGGAGATGATTATTTGGATCTCTGGTTCTGTCCAGTCCCTGGGTAATTTGTGAGCCATTATCCAAGTTTGGGCCTTACCCTGGAGCAATTGAATCAGAATCAGCGTGTCTTGACTGTGCTAGATCCTTCAGGAGGGAACTCTTCTGTAAATAAGCATCGCTGATGATGTGCCAGCCCTACCTCTGTGTGTGTTGTTGTTTTGGGGGAAGCCCAGGTAGAACCACATGACCAAGGACATGCCTACTTGTCTCTCTGAACTTCATTTCCCAAAAAACTAGCTGACAGCCAACATTCTTAAATTATTTCATTTATGGCCTAAAAGCTTCCCAAAGTAATCTGTCAAGTGTCCCATTATTCATTTATCATGGCAGAAGGTGGAGTGAAACTATATAGTTCGTACCTCAGAAGAAGGTGAGGATCAGGCAACATAGCCTTCTCCCCAACCTGAGCTTCTAGCAGCAGAGTGAAGAGGTTGCCTTCCATAGTCCCACCAGGCATTTCACTGCCAGCTGTGTCAGCTCCTGGGCCCAACCCCTTGCTCCAAATAACTACTCAAGCACCTGTTATTTCCTAAAGGCTTTGCACTTGAGGCAGAAAGGTCAGGGACACTGGCTTCTCTCAGTTTTGGCACAAATTTAGCACATGACCTTGGAGTTTTCTCTAAGCTGGGAGATTATAGTGCAGCTTTCCAATGTTCATTTTGTGAAAGGAATATCTTTTGAAATGGAAGGCTCATTCTTACATGCCTGTGCTGTTTACCAGGTTCTTAGCTTATTATTTCCTGTCCAAGTAAGAAATCTATGCCAATAAGGAGAGATAAATCATATTAGAACATGGTAGATGCCCTACAATCCCTTAAGACTATTTGGAAGCTAAAAATAAGGCAGGGTAAGATGATCCAAAAGCTGGTCCCAAAGCCACATTCTGTACAGTTTTGTGTGATGGTAGTTAGGGTGTTGGAACCAATGATCTTCCAGAAGCACCTACTAGTGATAACAATCTTTTTTACGTAGCTTTATGATATATAAACTACTTTCTTGTATGCCACTGGCATCTCATGATAGCTCTCACTGACAACAAAGCCTTACTGATACCTTGATGCCATAGAGTTTTGAACTTTATAGCTCTCATATTGCAGATGATGAAACAAGTCTCTGAACCTGCAGACAGTCACATAGCTAATTACTGGCAAAGCCAATTTGACTTGAGTATTCTCTTTTAAAGCATCACTGCATGGTGCAAACAGTTAAGTGCTTGACTACCAGCCAAAAGGTTGGTGGTTGGAACCCACCCAGAGGTGCTTTGGAAGACAGGCCTAGCGATCTGCTTCTGAAATTCACATCTTTGAAAGCCCTATGGAGCTGTTCTGCTCTGTACACATGGTATCACCATGAGTTGGAATCAATGGCAGCTAACAACAATAGCACCATTCCCTTTCAAAGCCCATAATACTGTATCTGAAAAACTAACAGACCTCCCTGTGGTTGTGAAGTGCTTTTCACATGCATTATCTCATAATCCTCATTTTGCAAGAAGGAGAAGACCTAGGATTTTATTAAAAGTTCTATGAGATGGCTGCCTGTTGCCTCTTATGACTTCCTCACCCAATAAAACTGAAATGCAGAGGACCCTAGGGAGCTAGAGAGGTGCCAGGACAAGACCTGGCCCCTTTGGAACATCCTTTTCCCATCTCTTTCAGTTTCACAAGACCCTTCCCTTCTTCAGGAAGAGAGTTTGAGGGACACACAGCAGGTGACTGCCTTTCAGCTGCCTCCGGTGAGTGCGTTCTGCAAGAGCCCTTGAAAACTCGTGTTCATCTTTCTCTAAACCTTGCATCTCCCTTCAGAGCAGCTTTCCCAGGACCCCAGCCAGCTTGTTGTCTGTCACACAGACTGTCCAGCCCTAGCCCAGAAAAACAGAAGGATGTGAACTTACGGGATATCCCCATCCCTCCTCCTAACTACCTAATCTGAGCTTCTCACTGTGAGTCTACTTTTCAGCCTTGTGTAGATAGTCATTGCAGAAAACAAATGTCCACATCCTGGTTTTACAGCCAACCCTACCAACTCTAGTAAAGGCCTTGCACATAGTGAGAGAGTGCATATGTTTTAATAAATCCAAGTCCCTGTGGATATGCCTCTCTGCACCCGAGGGATCTCCTCTTGAGAAAAAGGGAGACTCTTCACTCTTGTACTTCATGGGGAGTTTTTTAAGTAGGAATCCTAGTTATGACTATATTTCAGAAATGTTGGGAAATAGAAGGAAAATAAAATAGTCCATTGCACTATTATCAAACAACATGGGTGAGATTTTGAGAATTTCTTTTGACATTTTTCGTTTTGTCTTTCTGTACAAGGCCCCAGGCAGGTGTTCTGGGGGGATGGTGAGCTAGTACCTGCAGGTGCTCTCACTTACCTGTTTCTAGATGCTGCCTTAGACCCTGGTTTTCTGCTGTCTCCCCTTCATCTTTCTTCCTAACACCTTCTACAGCCTGGTATGATATTTAGTTATTAAAACATCATCTCTTCCCACTAGAATGTGGGCTTCATGATGGTATGGAATCTTGTTAATTATTGTTATTCAGCAGACAGAAGGCTTCCTGAAGCATAGAAAACACTCAACAAACACAGCTCAGAGGATTGTAGGAAAAAGAACAGCTTGCTCTCAGCCAGTGCATTTGACATGACTTTAAAGTTGGGAAAATGGGCCGGACTAGACCTGGTTAAGAGTCAATTAGTTACTTGAAGTGGGAGGTGTCTTGTGCTGCTCCAAGAAAAGCTGGCTCACACTTGGGCACCACTGCTCACAACATGTGTTTCAGCACCTACAGTATGCTGAATGGTGTGTAACATGATAGTTGTTGAACCCAAAAGTGAAGAAATGCTTGTTTTTCTTACTAAAGATGAAGACCTTTCATTGGTACAACATGCAAGAGGGTACTGAGATTCTGGACGTATCTATGAGGTTTGGTTCTTCCAACTTCTAGTAAAGGCCTTGCACATAGTGAGAGAGTGCATACATTTTAATAAATTAGTGGTATTTTGTCACACCACTGACGACATAGTTTCTGCGCAGTGCACTAAAAGTCACCCTCATGAAGATTTTTTTTTTTTCAGTTTGTTTTTTAATTCAACTTTTTATTTTCAGATAATTAAGGATTCACACGCAGCTGGAAGAAATAAGCCAGAAAGATCCTTTGTACTCTTTACGTAATTTCCCCCAGTGATATTGTTGTTATGTGCCGTTGAGTCGGACCTGACTCATAGCGACTCCTCCTTGGGTTTCTGAGGCAGTATCACTACCAAAGTAGATTGCCAAACCTTCCTTCCGAGGAGTGGTTGGTGGATTTGAACCACCAGCCTTCTGGTTAGCAGTCAAGTGCCTTATGCACTATGCTACCAGAGCTCCTAATTTCCCCCAGTTTACAAGTAACATCTTGTAAAACTAATACACTGTCACAGCCAGGATTTTGACATTGATACAGCCAAGATACAGAACATTTTCTTCACCAGAAGCTGCCTTCTGTTGCCCTTTTATACCCACACCTACTTCTCTCCTGCCTCCATTCCCTCCCTTACCTCTGGCAACCAGTAACCTGTCCTTCATCTCAATTATATTATCATTTCAAGAATATCAGATAAATGGATTCATGTGGTATGTAACCTTTGGAAGTTGGCTTTTTTCCACTCAGCATAATTCTTTGGAGATTCATTCAGGTTGTACCATGTACTGATACTTTGTTTCTTTTGATATTTTAGTAGTATTCCATGATATGGATGTACTAGTTTGTTTAACCATTCACCCATTGAAGGGGATCTGGGTGGTTTGCGGTTTGGGGACATTTATGAATAAAGCTGCTATAAACATTTCTGGGAGCTCTGGTACCATAGTGCCTAAGGCACTTGGCTGCTAACCAAAAGGCTGGCGGTTCAAACCCACCAGCCACTCCTCGGAAGGAAGGTTGGGCAGTCCTACTTCTGTAGTGATACTGCCTCAGAAACCCAAGGAGGGGTCACTATGAGTCATGGCCAACTCAACGGCACATAACAACAACAACAAACATTTCTGTAGAGGTTTTTGTGTGGAACTAAGTCTTGGTTTCTCAGGGATAAATGCCCAGGAGTGCAATTATTGGATTGTATGATAAGCACATAGTTTTGTAAGAACCTGCTGTATCCTTTTCCACAGTAACTGTACCATTTTACTTTCCCACCAGTGATGTATGAATGATTCACAGCCTCTGCATCCTCCCTAGTGTTTGATGTTGTCACTATTTTTATGTTAGCGGTTTTGATGAGTGAATAGTGATGTCTTATTGTAGTTTAAATTAATATTTACCTGATGGCTAATGACATTAAACATCTTTTCATGGGCTCATTTGCCATCTGTGTGTCCTCTGGTGAAATGTTTCTTCATGTCTTTTGGCCATGTTCTAATTGGACCATTTTCCTTTTTACTGTTGAGTTTTAAGAGCTCTTTATATATTTTAGATACTTGTCTTTTGTAGGTTATGTGGTTTGCAATTGCTTTCTCCTAGTCTTTAGCTTGTTTTTTCATCCCCCTTAATAAGATAGATCTCCAATACAGCAGAAGTTTTTAATTTAGATTAAGACTAGCTTATCAGTTTTTCCTTTTAAGCGTCATGCTTTTGGTGTCAAGTCTAAGAACTCTTTGCATAGATACTGTTGTACCATGTTTTTTTCTAAAAGTTTTACAGTTTTTAAGTCTCTGACCCATTTAAGTTAATTTTTTTGTAAGATATAAAACTTGAACTTTTTTTTTTTTTTTTTGCCTGTGGATATCCAGTTGCTATGGCATCATTTGTTGAAAGGCTGTCATTCTTCCATTAAGTTGTTTTTGCACCTTTGTCAAAAATAAACGTTTGTGTGGGGTCTGTCTGTATTCTGTTAAATTGATCTGTTTGTCTGTCTGTCCCTCTGTTAATACCATACAGACTCGATTACTGTAGCCGTGTACTAAGTCTTCAAATTGAGTAGACTGATTCCTCTCTCTTTATCCTTTTCAAAATTATTTCAGTCCTTTTGCCTTTCTGTGTGAGTTTTATAGTAAGCTTGTCTATTTCTGCAAAAAAAAAAAAAAAGAAAAGAAATCTCACTAGGATTTTGACGAGAGTTTTATTAAACCTGAATATCAATTTGGGGATTTTTGCTGAGTTTTTCAATTTGTGAATACAATTTGTCTTTCCATTTATTTGTTTCTTATTTGATTTCTTTACTCAATATTGAATGGTGTCAGCATACAAATCCTGTGTATATTTTGTTAAATTTATGCTTGCATTTTTTATTTCTTTGAGCAGTTATAAATGATATTGCATTTTTAACTTTTGTGTCAATATACATAGAAATAATTGATTTGGAATGCTTATTTTGAATTCTGCAGTGTTGCTGAGTTCACATATTAGTTTTAGGATTAGCTCTAGATTTTTGTGGAATTTTCAGTGTGGACATCTGCAAATACACCAGTTGCCTTCAATTCAGTCCCAACTCTGGTGATCTCACGTGTGCCAGAGTAAAACTGTGCTCCAGAGAGTACTCAGTGGCATATTTTTTTGAAGTAGATCCTCAACCCTTTTTTCTGAGCAGGCTCTGGGTGGACTTGAACCTCCACACTTTCAGTTAGCAGTCAAGTATGTGTGCAGTCTCCATGAGTCGCAATCAATTCAATGACAACTGGTTCATCTGAAAAAGTCTGTCTCTTTCTTTTCTATCTGTAGATTTTTATTTCCTTTTCTGGCCTAATTTTATTGACTCAAAACTTCCAATGCTATGGTTAATATCAGAGGAGACGCATATGTCCTTGCCTTGTTCCCAATCATAAGGGGAAAGCATATAGTCTTTCACTAGTAAATAAACTGTTACCTGTATGGTTTTTTAATTAGATGTGTCCAGTTGAGGAAGTTCCCCTTTATTCCCATTTTTCTGAGAAATTTTATCATGAGTAGGTGTGAACTTTTGTCGAATGTTTTGTCTGCATCAATTGATATGATTATGTGATTTTTATTGTTTAGCTAATTAATATGATGGATTACATTGTTTGACTTTTGCATATTGAATCAGAACCAGCGTTGCAGCAGTGGAATAAACCCCACTTTGTCAGGGTGTGAGATGCTATGTATATATTGCAGAACTCTATTTGCTAATATTTTATTAAAGATTTTTGCATCTGTATTAATGAAGGATAATTGATCTATGTTTTTCTTTTTCTATGTCATCTTTGTTAGTTTTGGTATCAAGCTAATACTGATTTTATAAAATGAATTGGAAGTGCCCGCTCCTCATTTATTTTCTCAAAGAGATTATGTAGAATTGGTCTGAATTCTTCTTTAAATATTTTGTAGCAGTCATATGTGAAGCCACAGTGAAGCCATATGGACCTCTAGAGATTGGGAAAGGGTGGTATTTTAATTATAAGTCTGTTTCTTTAATGACTATACCAAAACCAAAACAAACGCACTGCTGTCAAGTCAGATCTGACTCATAGCGACCCCTCCTTGGGTTTGTTATGGAGAGAGAGAAAGAGAGAAAGAAATTTATCTTGAAGAGATGGCTCACGCAGTTATAGAAGCTGGCAAGTCACAAGTCCTTAAGTCAGACATCAAGCTGGAGGCTTCTCTTTACTCACACAGCTGCAGGGGCTGATGAACCCAAGATCAGCAGGCAGTGCAGCAGGCTGCTGGCTTTCACCAGTGTAGTGACTGTCTTTGCACGCTAAGCTTTGTTCCTATTTCCAATTTTGGGTGGATTCTCAGAAGAGAG